AGATGATCTGTCCATTCATGTAAGTGGGGTGTTAGAGTCCCCTGTTATTATTGTATTATTATCAATTAGTACCTTTATATTTGTTATTAACTGTTTTATGTCTCGGTGCTCCCATGTTGGCTGCATAAATATTTACAATTGTTATATCTTCTTGTTGGATTGTCCCCTTTATTGTTATATAGTATCCTTTTTTGTCTTTTATTACAGTCTTTGTTTTAAAGTCTAGTTTTTGCATTATAAGTATCACTACTCTGGTTTTCTTTTGACATCCATTTGCATGATAAATATTTTTGCATCCCCTTATTTCCAATCTGCAAGTGTCTTTAGGTCTAAAATGAGTCTCTGGGCATGTGGTTGGCTCAGTTAATTAAGTGTCTGATTTCAACTCAGGTCATGATCTCACAGTTCATGGGTTCAAGCCCTGCATCAGGCTCTATGCTGACAGCTCAGAACCTGGAGCCTGCTTCAAATTCTGTGTCTCCCTCTCTCTCTGCTCCTTCCCCGCTTGTGCTCTCTCTCTCTCTCTCAAAAATAAATATTAAGAAATAAATGAATCTCTTATAGGTAGCATATAGATGGGTCTTGTTTTTTTTTTTTTTTTTTTTTTTAAATCCATTCTGTCACCTTGTGTCTTTTGACTGGAGCATTTAGTCCATTTACATTCAAAGTAATTATTGAAAGATATGTATGTATTGACATTTTATCCCTTGTTTTGTGGTTGTTTCTGAAGATTTTCTCTGGTGCTTTCTTGTCTTTCATGGTTTGCTGGGGTTTTTTACTGATATATTAGGTTTTCTTTTTTCTTTACATATTCTTTACATATTTATTAGTGGTTTTTGATTTGTGGTTACCGTTAGATTTGTATATAATGTCTTCTGCATGTAGCAGTCTGTATTACATTGAAGGTCATTTAAGTTTGAATTCATTCTTTATTCCTCTCCTTCCCATGTTTTAGATATATGGTAGTCATATTTTACAAACTTTTATTTTGTGAGTTCCTTGACTAATTTTTTATAGAAACATTCACTTTTACTGCTTTTGTGTTTCCTATCTTCATATTGTCATTTTTGGTCTTTCCTTTCTACTCAGAGTCCCCTTTAATATTTATTTCTTCCAGGGCTTGTTTAGGAGTCATGAATTCCTTTAGTTTTTGTTTGTCTGGGAAACTCTCTCTCTCCTATTCTGAATGATAGCTTTTCTGGATAGAGTATTCTTGGCTGCATCCATTCAACACTTTGAATATGTCATGCCACTCCTTTCTGGCTTGGAAAGTTTCTACTGAAAAATCCACTGATAGCTTTATGGGGTTTCCTTTCTATTTAACTATCTTCTTTTGTCTTGCTGCTTTTAATATTTTTTCTTTCTTACTATATTTTGCCAATATAATTACAATGTGTGTTGGTGTGGATCTGCTTTTGTTGATTTTGTTGGAGGTTCCCTGTACCTCCTGAATCTGGATCTCTGTTTCCTTCCCCACATTAGAAAAGTTTTCACCTATTGTTTCTTTAAATAAATTCTCTGCCCCCTTTCCTCTCTCTTCTTCTTCTGGAACTTGTATGATACAAGTGTTACTAAGTTTGATGGGGTCACTGCATTCCCTAAATGTGTTCTCAGTTTGCTTAATTCTTTTTTTCCTCTTTTGTTCAGCTTGATTACTTTCCATTATTCTATCTTCTAGGTCATCAGTTTGTTCCTCTGCATTATCCACCCTGCTGTTCATCCCACCAAGTGTGTTTCTCATTTTGTTTACTGAGCCCTTTATGTCTGCTCTATTATTCCTTATCTCTGTATTAATAGTCTCACTGATGGTCTTCACTCCTGGTCAGATCCAGTGAGTATTGTTATGATCATTGCTTTAAATTCTCCGTCAGGCATGTTACTTATATCTGTTTGCTTAGATCTCCAGCCATGGCCTTGTCCTGTTCTTTCATTTGGGACAAATTTCTCTTCTCTTCTCTTCTCTTCTCTTCTCTTCTCTTCTCTTCTCTT